TTATCAAGGACTACGAAGAGGCGCAAAGGCGGGTCAGTGCTTTAGAGAGAGAGATGGCGGGCTTGAGGAACCGCGTGACCGCGAAGCCCGAAGACACGCCGAGGGCGGCCACCCCGCCGCCACCGCCGCCCGCCGGCTGCGGCTGCGTGGTGATGTAAATGACCTTTTGGGGTCCCCCTCTTCCCTCGGTAGCGCGCCGTCGTTGTCGGTATTGTTTTTTGAAGCCGTCCGGTGCTCTCTTCGAGGGATTGAGGATGCAGCCAAAGGTAGCCACTCTACATCCTTCGCTGTGGGTGGGTGGCGTTGCTTGAGTTGCCGGTTTAGGGGCCTGACGGGGGGAGGGAGCTTGCATTTCTGCTTGCTGCCAAGAACGCACTTGTGTCGGGTCTGCGCGCGGTCAAAACGGGGCTTGTCTGTGTATGCCATCCTGGCTTACTTGCTCCGGTGTTTTGCTGGCTGCCTGTGCTGCTGCTGCGGCTGCTGCTACTGGCTGGCTATTGTCCTGCTGCTGTTGCGCACCTACCTCTTTGTTGCAAAGAGTGCGTTCAGGGAGAGACGTGCCAGTGCATAGCAGCAGCGCCGCGCAAAGTTTCTCCGGCAAGATTGAGCGACGTACATGTTTGTCGAAAGGGCGAAAGGAGACGAAATGCACTCTAGACCAACCCAGGGCTCGGGTGCTCGAAGCGAAACAGGCAGGTGCCTTGTGCGCCGCCCGCTGTATCGAACGATCGCCCCTGTTGTAGCGTGCCCCAGAAAGAGGGGTGCGGTTTTTTTCAGACCCAAGGGTATTAAGTAGAAGTATATATATTTACGTACGTACGCATTTGCAAGAAGATTGGTTCTCTTGCTTGTTACGGGGAGGGGGGGGGTACCTTAGCCTCACCTTGTGGGTTTATTTTGTCCGTTCTCTTATTCTGTTGCCCTCATCACGTCGTTTTCCCCACCCGGATGCGACTACGGATCCTTGGAGCATCGACCGTTCGTAGTGCAGCGTTGTTCCCCGGTGGTTTTGATTTGCCCCTGAGTGAATTCTTCACGTCTACCATGCACAGTGGGTATGCATATTGCATGTGATTTTTAGAAGGCTTAATGCTGCACACGAAGGGACAGAAGCCCGCCGTGGCGCTATTATTTCTAGCGCGAGAGAAAGAGGCAGGCCGAGTTCGTATGCAGAAAGGGCGAGGAAGGAAGTCGACGTGGGGATGATGATATGATCCCGCAAAAACTCGCTGGCAGGCTTGTAGGCATGGTCCCGTTTCGTCGTCGCTGTCCCTTCATGGGACGCCCAAGTGAGATCGGCGCAAGACGTGTACGTAGTGTGTGTCAGAGAGGTTGATGATGCCTTACTTTGCAGTGCTCAGCAGTCCCGACGCGGTCTGTCTGTCTGGTATGTTCTATGATATGCCTAGACTAGCCGTTCGTTGTCGTTTTTCCAAGATGCACAAGTATATTTCAGCAGTAGGCTAGTAGAACACGTATGATAGTGGCGGTTGGTGCGTCTGTAACTAACAGAAAAACACGTTTCGTCTCCCACTTCAACACCCCCCCCCCCCCCCCCCTCCCACTGACTGTGGTTATCTTCTGAACGGGTAGTCTCTCTGTGCTCGACGTATACATGTCGTACATGCATGGCTGCAAGTAAATGGCACCAGAGGAGGGAAAGTTGCGGGACTGGCATCCGGTCAAAGAGGAGCGCTTTGCTCGTTACTTCGCTTCCCAGCTTACAGCACGCAAGCAGATGGAGAGTGAAGAATAAGAATCGCTCGTTTTGTACACTACTGTAGCATATATATATTTTTTTTCACCTCCTTTTGCGATCGTGGTGTTTTCTGAACGGGGGTTGGATGCAAGTCTGTTTGCTACTGCTTCAATTGCTGCGTGTTTCAACAAAATACCCTGTAGTTTAGCTCTACAAAATAATATCCCGTCTTGTCTTGCCCCTACGCGTCCTAGACTACAATGTACGTCCAAGTACTCGTATGATAGCCGCTGCAAATGAATGTTCATCATATATATGACATGTAGATGTGTCAAAGGAGGGCAAGTAAGTACGAATCAAATATCAAAACTATGATTTTGCGTTGGCTCTGCTCCTGGCTCACATCATCACTGCCACAATCTTCTTCGTCATCATCATCGATTTTATTTGTGTAGTGCGAGGTGCGAGGTGCAAGGTGTGGCGTGTGGCGCAATGATGCAGCGTTCTCTTCATGGGGCGCGCTGGCGCGGCCCCTCGTTTTTTCTTTGGAAACATGGAGAAACACGCGCCCCGGGCCGCAGGTCCGGGCGCAGCTTTCCGCGCCTCAAAAAAATCCGCTGCGCTTTTTTGTTCTGTAGATCTCTCTTTTTCGCTGGTAAATGAGACGTATATGTATTCTGTCGCAAAACGGTTGAAAAACACAAAAACTGAGACTTTTTTGAACGATTTTTTGCAAGAAATTACGTCGACTTTCGTCCAAAAAATTGCCTCCGGCGGCCCCTCCGGGGAACGTCACGCCTTCGGCGTGGGGGTGCGGCAACCGCCAGTTGCCGCGCCCAGGCCTGCGGCCCTAGCGAAAACGCTGCCAATGATGTAATTGGGTGAACTGGTTCTGAGACGAACCAAGAACCTGATTGGGTGGAGCTGGTTCAGAGACAAACCAACAACCAAAGGTGGGTACCTGGTGATGGCTATCTGTGCGCCCCCGAACCACGACGACCAACAACAAGGACAACTTGACGACAATGTGCGACGTGCGACATAGCAGTAGCAGCATCAGCACCCGCTGGCTGCTGAACCCGATGATGCAGCGTGTTGTGCTGCTGCTGTTACAAGTTGTTCCTTCTGCTGGCCTGCTCGTCTCGTGGACGGCAGCAAGGTCTCGCTTGTCACAAAAGGTGAGCCCAGCCCACAGGAAGGACATGTGTCCGGAAACCTTTGCTGCTGCTCCCCAGGGAGCAGCCACAACTTCCACTGGTGTATCATCATGCCCCCCCAACGCTGCTGCTGTGCACACGCTACTACTGTCTCACATGGTAGCGATCGATTACGCCTTGGACCATCCTAGTTGTGGACAGGATCCCGTTGTACGTCTTGAACTCGGGCACATGTTTCTGAGGTGTCGAATCCGAAATCCCACCGCAATATCCAGTGAAGTACAGCAGCTGTAGATATGTACCAGGTAGCAGGTAGTAGGCACGGACGGTGATCAGCCTTGTGTCAAGCATGTCCACCATAGACAACAAAGTACAGTCAACCTCGGGGTGTTAACCAAAGCCCGTGGAGGTTAGCACGAATGTAGCCGGAGACACAACCACGGTCTACTCTGTAGACTACATAACGTTTACCGCTCCACATGAGTATGATATGATCAAACAATCGGACCCCCGTCGGTTGTCTCCGCCGCCCTCCGCGTAGGTTGGTGTCTGCTTTGCATGCTTCCTGAGGCCATCCACTGGGACCAATTTTGGATGAAACTCGGAGTTTGTGAACCCATCGAATCATCGTGTGCTGCTGTTGGTGCTGCTGCTGCTGCTGCTGCTACTACTAACGGTAGGTGCAACGATCATGTACCAGCGTTGATTCTCACACGCCTGGAGGAGGGCTAAGCGGCGATGAGCCTCGAGATGCAATGGTAAGCGAGCTGCTGCAGCTCTTTCAGGGCGAGTTCGACAACTATGACCAGGTGGGGGGGCGATAGCATTCGATTCTTCTTTTCGTTCATGCCGAGATGGTCTTGGAAAATGGGATCTTCATGCCGTCAAGTTTGTGTCGCCGATGGGACTTGCGCTGCGCACGACGTCGGACTCGTTGAGCTAGCCATTCGGTCCACCACCTAATGCTCGATTGGTTCGGTTGCGAATTCAGGAATGCACGCTACTGTCTTGCGACGGTTTTACGCAATAGTAATTTTTTGTTCATCGCGTCCCATCCCATCTTCATTCCCCAAGGTGCACTGACCAAGCGCGTGTGGCCGCACGATGGCTAAATCACGTTGTGAATTCTTCAGATGCACACAATCCAGACGGTGCATAACAGGACAGAATTTGATTATTCTCCACTGAATGAAAAATAAATATCACAACAGTCTTCGAGCACACTCGTCGATGCTGCTCTTAGTAGTGGAGCAACCAGCCGAAGCTAACTCGTAACCATAACGGTAACCATTGCCATTCCTTCCTCCGTGGCCCTCCAGTATTTCCCTCCGCACACCACACACACATTGCGCCAATAGATGCGTCAGGGTGGGCCACGGCCGGTCACCACAGCAGTTCCTACTTACCCAGATCTGTTTCGACCACCCAACCGGCATCCACCCTTACACGTGCAGGTGCACAGCAGTTCCTATCTATCCAGCTCTGTTTCGACCACCCAACCGGCATCCCTCCCCCTACACATGGCAGGTAGTCGCAGACCGCAAGGCCGGCATGACGCCTGGGCCTGGGGGAGGCCACGAGCACATCCACTGCAGCTTGAAACGGCTCGACCCGGCCGAGGTCCCCGAGCAAGTCGCCGCGGCAGCGGCTGCACCCCCCGGTAGTAGGAGCTCCAGCGGCGAGGAGGAGGAGGAGGAGGAGGAAGGAGCGGGGCAGGGGGCGCAGCAGCAGCAGCCTGAACAACCCCTGGCGGTGGTGGCGGCGAAGTACTACTTCAACGGTGACTCGAACGTGGTGTTTCGGTATCGCCTGTACAGCTTCCATGCGTGTCCGGTGAGAACACGGGGTGTTTTGGTGGCAGCAGCAGTGGGCGCGGGGAGGGGGGGTGTACTCATAGTCGTGCATGCCGTAGTCGTTAGACCATTGACCTCGCATCCCTACAAAGCCGGGACGGAGCACGCCGGGTTCTCACCGGACCAGGCTCTCACATCACCAAGCGCGAAGCGCCGTGAGTTATTCGGCGAGTCGCATGAAGGGTGAGCTGCATCCTGCTAAGGGTGTTCGGCATCTTGTGCTTACTTCCTTGCATACGAATGACAGCTGCGTATGACTTAATTTATTTTCTGGTGCTTTCACTTCCAGAGACAGTTGTAAGCACTGTGTAACTGCCTCGAGGATGCTTGACCAATTTAACACAACGTGGTGCGATCATCCCCCTTGCGCGGAGTAAGGCTTCTCGACCCCGCACAACATGATTTACTGGACCACCATTCATGGTTACCGCAAAAAAAAAAACAGAGGTAAAAAAAAAAACGGTAACCTGGTTGCCGAGTTCACGAAGTGACTTGGCTTGTTTTACAACGTCGTCGCCAAGCGACGAAAACCCAATCCCGATGGCAAAACACCGGGGGGGGGCGGCTTGTTTCACAACGTCGTTGCCAAGCGACGAAAACCCAACCCCGATGGCAAAACACCGGGGGGCGCGGGGAGGGGGGGGGGGGCGTACTCATCATGTTTTGCGTGCCTTTGTTGTTTGAACCATGACCATGCGTCCTCGAGAGGCCGAAGCATTGTCTCGTTGGGGGTAGGGGTGGAGACATGAATCCATGGCTGGTGTGAAAGTGTTAAATAGCATTGCTGTTTTCCTACACCCATATCATTGGTTTCGTGGTAGAAACTTTCCATTTTCTCAACTGTGAAGGCTCATTTTTCACAGCATGGCGCCATCGGTGTGTGGGAGGGGGGCACTCGGTTGCACATCCACTCGAAAGTACAGAGAC